TTTCCTAGCAACTTATTCTACAAGTCTATTTACCACTTGGTAAAAAAAATTCGACCTGACTTCCCTTCTTATTCCTAGCATCTTAATTTTGTAACATGTGTCCCTAGTATTTGAATTTGACCCAGTGACCACAAGGAACTATAATCTGCAAATTCCTCAACTTTTCCCTGGTTGTACTGAGGCTGTAATTTCTAATATTTTTGAACAGTCATGTTGAGCTCAGCCCTGTTTTCACCAAGTTTAGCACAAATCAGGTCAGATATGGGGCCTTCTTGGCTCAGTTCAACACTCCACTGAGCCATTCAACTTTGTGACATATCTGAACAGTATTAATAGTCTGAACCATGTGTTTATGCAGTGTGTTTTTTCATGTGATGTGAGCTTCTGGTTATATAATAATAATAATTAATAATAATCCTTGCATTTGATATAGTGCTTTTCACGTCTTCTAGACGTCTCAAAGTGCTTCACAAAATATGCTGTAAAGTGAATTGACTGTATATTTTGAGGGAAATGTTCCACCTATTCCACTGGGGATCGACCATTCCACTGGATAAGGGAATCCTATCTCCCATACAGCACAGGAACAGAGGAGGCAATTCATACTATTGAGTCTTTTCTGCTATATTGTTACAACAACTTGTATTTATATAGCGCCCTTCACGCAGGACAACCAGCAAGAAAAAAGAAAGAGGTGACCATAGGCACAGTCAGAAAAGTAGCTCTAGATCATATAATATCCTTTAATCCTGTCTTTTCTCCATAGTCCAGAACACCATTAATATTCTCCTGGCTGGTTAGTGCCTAGAATTGGCCAACATCAGAAAGCAGTTCAGCAGTCTGTTTTCTTGACATCTAAAGGAGGGGAGGGGGAACATAACTAAAATGTGGGGTGAATGGGGGAAAAGAAAGGGAACCTGGATTTATTTGGACAAAGATTAAATATATTTGTATACCCCACCTCCGCAACATCGCCAGGCTCCGCCACTGTCTCACACCGCAGGCCGCCGAAACACTCATACACGCTTTCATTACATTGCGGCTTGTCTATGCAAACTCCTTGCTTGTTGCCTCCCTAACTCCTCTTTCTATAGGCTGCAGATCACCCAGAACTCTGTAGTCTGTGTACTCTCTCGCACCAGGCTCCGTGACCCTATCACCCCCATCCTCGCCCAACTCCACTGGCTTCCCATCACACAGAGGATACAGCTCAAGATCCTGGTCCTCACCTTCAAAGCCCTCCATGGCCTTGCCCCCCCTACCCCTGCAACCTTCTAACCCCTTACCAACCTGACCACTCCCTCCACTTAACGGCCTCTGGTCTGCTTCACGTCCCCCACCTCGCTCACCCCACTATTGGCGGGCAGGCCTTCCGCCACTCTGCCCCCACCCTCTGGTACTCCATTCCACAGTCCCTCCACCTCACCCCCTCCAAGACCCATCTCAAGACTCTCCTCTTTGACAGTGCTTTCGATCACCCTACTTCCCCGCCCCCTGCCCTCCGACCTCCCCAACCCCTGACCCCCAGCTCCGGTCCGTAACTCTGTCTGTCCAGCACCTTGGGACATCCTCCCAATGTGAAAGGTGTTATACAAATGTAATTTTGTTGTTGCTGTTGTTGTTAGTTGCTTGGAATCTATAAATACTGGACTGGACAGAAAGGAAACTTGGCATATTACTGATAGATCTGTGGCCACTTTGCCTAAGGTAACTTATCCATATTGGCTTTTAGAAGAGAACTAAATGAATACCTGAAAATAAGTCAACTACAGGAGTATTGAGGGAAATGCAAAGTAAATGGGATTGAAAGGATTACTCTTAAAAGAGCCAGCACAAGTATGATGATTTAATGGCCGTCTTCTGTGCAGTAAGGTTCTATTTATAACTTTGATTTCCTCCCCCTGCCTAACAAACACACACATATTATTCTATTTGTTTTGTTTAAGAAAAAAAATCACAACATGTTTTTTTCCTCTCTGACCTTCTGCTCTGCTAGGCCATTTAATCAAAACAGAAGCCCCTTCAACCAGGTAATAAATCATACCTGGGCTTCTGTTGCATTTGAACGGCAGAGGCCTGGGGCTTTCTGGCAGACGTATCGCCACTACTCACACAGTAGTAGCTGTGTCCATCGCATCCGGCTGCCTAGCCTCCTGTTGACCTAATTAAGTAAAACGGGTCGGCTGGAATATTGATGTGTTCTCACGATGCACTGCATCGCTCTGTCCCTGTCCTCCAACATTCAAGCCGCGAGCTTTCCTTCCAGCATAACAACCCAGTCAGGCAGAACACAAAAAAGTGCTGCTTGCAGAACCCAATTTCAAAGACAAATCCTCAAGAAATAAAACAGCATAGAAAGGGGGAGGGCCGTCAATTTAGGGCTGACTCTCCTGCTCTTTCTTCACTGTTAAAATTCTGCGAGTTTAAACCCAATTTGAACAGAATTTAATGCGTTCCATGATTTCTTTCATGTTTTAAAACTGTCTCGACCTCAGAGTGAGACTGCATATCCTCCCCACCCACCCCCCAAACTTATTTAAGTTCATCTAGAATGAAAGAATATGTTTAATGCAAAGTGCCCGTGACAGGATTGTCTAATTCCCTCTCCCCTCGTTTTTAACCAAAAAAATGCATTAAGCTGGTTCATTGATACAAGTGGACTGATGAAATAAATTAAGGAAACAGCAGAATACTCTGTAGATGAAACAATCTTACACCTCTTTGACCCCATTTTCCTCGACAAAGTTATGATTATGCAAGCACCGAGTACCCTTGAGTATTTAAACCAATATTCATATATGAGCCTCAATAATGAATAACAATGGGTTATTCAACCACAAGAGGCATTGCAGCTGAGCTAGACCCTTACTGCACTGCATTTGCCCCCAAAACACACAGAGGCTGCCCTTTACAGTAAATCCTGTGAAGCACTTTGGGACGTCCTCCCGACATGAAAGGTGCTATACCAAGTGTAAGATTTATTAGTACACCTACAAGAGGGGTGCCTATTAGCTGCCAGTTAGGTGCCATTGAGCATCACCCAGAGATTGAAGTTGGGACCTTCCTGTTCTCAACTGCTCATTGAATAAACCTGACAAGGGACCCTTTCAGCTAAATCTCAGTGACTGGTGAGCTACACCTTGCATATGGTACCCCAGTTACCAAAGACACTCAGTGATTAGACAGTAGCGTCTGTCACATGAAAGATACATCGCAAGGCATTTTACTGAATGGGACGAATCAAGAATTAAATAAATATTATGGGGCAACTATATTCTGCAAACAGCAAGGTGAGCAGCTAAATGATACGGATTTTTGGGCTGTCCCTAAAGGGGATGTTGTTTGCTGCACTAGGTTTTTGTGTGGGTTGAATTTACAGCTGAGAAACAGCTCAGAATCCAACATGTTAGTGCTAGGCCAAACTTTGACCGCAGGTCGATCCTCTGCAATGACGATTTTGTTTCTTTGATTATAACAGAAGCCGCCTTCAGACACATCTCTGTTTCTCAGTCTCAGCAAAGTCATCACACCGCTTTTCCCAGATGGCAACGTTCCTCTTTTTATACAAGGGAAAGCTTCCGCAGCAGTGTTTTATTCCATTCTCCCCACTGGAAGTTCCTGCGTTGGCCACGACTGCCCACAGGAGAAGCCTGCAAATTGGATGACCCCGTGGGAATTTAAGAATGCAGCGTTGCTCCTGACCCCCTGACCTCCTGCTCTGCAGTGCAGTGATGATCGCCATTGACAGACTGCAGCGTGAGCAGGGAAGCAATCTAAAGAGATCATTTAAAGCGGCACTGCAACCCAAACAACGCCCGTGTGGTAACCGGCAGATTGACAAAGGAGGGGGACAGGCTCTGTGGATCTACAAAGCTGCAAATATGCAATGATGGTTTTTTGTTTTAGTAACGATAATTAAATATTTTAGACCGTAAGATGAAGCAACATATCATGGTCCCAGACCCTGCACTGCACATCAATGGGACACTGTAAGCTCCTGATCCTATGTGTGATGCCAAGGAAGAGGAAAGGATGCACCAAGTTGAGGTCAGACAGCGAAAGGAGAGTCACTCAAGCCACACTGGTATAGATAGTGGGGCCCACTTACACAGTATCGTTGACAAGAGGCCCGGAAGCAGGTTGTCTGTCTGGTGTCTCAGCTGGGGATTGTGCAGGAAGAATCAAGGAAAATGAGATGAAATTAGAATCTTCCTCCTAATATTGCGAGAAATGAAAAACCTCAATGAAACCGTTGGATTCAATGGGTTCCTCTGTGTACACTCACAGCTTTCCATGTGAGCACTTCTGTCCCTCCATCTCCGAGGCTCTCAACCTCACTCCTCCTTCCCTCCTTCCCTATCTTTAAAACCTATCTTTTCTAAAATGACAAATTTGGGTTATTTTCTCCCCAAATCCAGCTCGGGCTCCCAGTCAGCTGTGTGAAGCGCTTTGAGACGTCCTCCGAAATGTGAAACTTGCTATAAATTGTTGTTGTTGAATGTTTTATGTGACTGAGTAATTTACCAGGTGGTGGATTTTTACACTGAACCATTGGGGAAACTTAATTTCACATTCTTCCATTTCACTCTGTGGCCTTTGTCCCCCTCTTTCCCGCATTGGGAAGGCGAAGTGTTGGGACGATTAGAAATTCCTGTGAATTGATTAGCTCTTCCCACTCTTTTTGCCAATGTTGCAGTTTGATCTTCATTAATATAATAAAAAGCAAGTCAGAAATACAGAAGAATGTTTGCACTTGTATGTATCCAATTCTAATCCCCAACCTCTGTAACTCCTCTCTGCTCCACCATTTCACCCCCTATCTATCTGTCTTTAAGTACTGCCTTAAAACCTAAGTCTTCGACTGCGCCTTTGGCCAATTCCTCATTTCCCCCTCCCCATCTTTGTACAGTGCTATGAGATGTTACCACATGAAGGGCGCTATTTAAAAGGCAAGGTGTTGTTATTGTACATTCAGAAATGCTATTATACAAAGCACTAACCTTTTCATGTACTTGGGAGAGGAGTGGCTCTCCGAATTGTCCAGCACAGTTTTCACATGCATCGAGTTGTATGAGTTGTGAGTATATTCAGTCTCGTCGTTGTACTCTGGGCCCAGTAGGCTCCGTGCCCACGTTCCCATGTCATATGGGGGTTGGGTCCCTCCGAACTCGGAGGGTAGACACTCGGGGTGGATCAGTTGGTGTAGACTATTCAGATTGTTACCGTGGAGGAAAATCTGGAACAAAAAAGAAAAGTGCAAAGAAAAAAAACAATGTGCAATCACAATGCAATCCAATGAAATGTAAATCTACATCTTCCAATAGTCATACAAAACTAGTCTATCGTGAATTTTCCCTTCACCTCCCTATACACACACACACACATACATTCCTGTATCTCAGTGATCAGAGCACTTGCTTCGCAAGCAAGAGGACTTGGGTTAGATTCCTGGGCAGGGCAAAACCTTCGGCAAGTTTCCTTACTCCACACGCTTCTGTTTATCTAGCAGTAAGTAGGAACCCGGTTGTTAGTTGATTGCCAGATCGCTTTTTCCGAGGGTAATAATCCCTTAATTAATAAATAAATAATAATTTGGGCACTCAATCCACGACTGTTTGTGGGACACTGCTGTGCACAATTGGCTGTTGAATTTCACCCACAAAATATACAGTCAATTCGCTTTACAGTATATTCTGTGAAGTGCTTTGAGACGTCTCGAAGACATGATAAAGTGCTATATCAAAATGCAAGGATTATTATTATCTGATAGTCTATTAGAAAGTTCACTGTACATTCTCAGAATATCCCCACTTTTTTAAAATGTCAGTGCTACTTGTTTTTAAATAGCCAGAAGCACTCTTGCTTTCAAGAGGCCCTGACGATTATTTTAATGTTTAGGTATATTTCAAAAAGAGATCTAGGTTTTCCGCTTCCCCCTCGAAATGCAGGCTGGATAGAACAATCAAGCATAATAATAATCTTTACATTTTGATATAGTGCCTTTCTCAAGTCAGGAGATCATTGTAAAGCACTTCACAGGAGCTACTGTAACATGTTGTGGATGAAATTTGTAGAGAAATCTTTTGTATTATTGTATGCATGTGAAGGTGGGTGGAAGAGATTAGGGATCCTCTCAGAATACAATGTATAACTTGTGTGCAAGTAAATTGAGCAGCTTTGGTGAGTGAGCTGTGTTGATTCTCTATTGATCAGTAAATGTCCAAAGATGAAAATCAAACATTTGACCACTGCAAATGTAGATTTTCGTAAAATTCTTTATATTTCCCTGATTGAATTTTTCAACGTTTATCATTAGAAATGGTCACAAATGTTAGAGCGCAGTAAACTATTTTGTATTTTGAAGGGTTCTTGTATTACTTAGAAGGTTAGTGTCATGGTTTGCACTGCTTTGTTGCAGCAAAAATTACAACAACAACAAAATTACATTGTAAAGCACCTTTCACGTCGGGAGAACGTCCCAAGCCGCTGGACAGACAGAGTTATGGACTCGAGCTGGGGATCAGGGGTCGGGGAGGGTGGAGGGCGGGGGGGGGGGGGAATGCAGGGAGATCGAAAGCGCCATCAAAGAGGAGGGTCTTGAGATGGGTCTAAAAATAAAGAGGCACTTTCCAAGCAGAGATGGACAAGCCAGAACTTTTCATATACGGCTGTGCCCACATCGAGCCAACTCAAGCCAAACCAAATTAAAAATGTACCTCTTTTCTAGAGTCAATTTGATGTGTCACAGCACCTCAATTCACTTCAGCATTAGCAAATGAAGGGATCACGGTTGCTGCATAAGTAACATTTATCTGTGCAGAGATAAGTTACCAAGGCTGCCATTAAAATTACGATTACATAGCTACATAGGAATGTAGAGGCGTGGTAAAGACCATTGCAGTCCATCAAGCATGTCCCAGAGTTAAAAATAAATAACTGGGTAGTCTATTCCAAAAATATTCAACACTCACTGTAAAATAATTTGTGTCTGTTTTCCCTCTCCTAAGCTTCTTTGTGCCCCATTGTTCCAGATTTGTTGGCCATGTTATACTTGTTATTGGGTTCACTTTGTCTATGCCCTTTAGGATCTTCACAAGATCACAAGATTGGTTTGGATGAAGAAGGCACACACTTCAACCCATTTAATCCCAATTAAATTAATGAGATCTCTGCTGAGTCTTCTCTTTAGTGTGAGTATTCCTGGTTTCCATAGAGCTCCTCATAACTCAGGGAGTAATTATAAAAGAAATTTATTGAAAAGTTGAGGGATACTCTGGCTAGCACATCCTCGAATATATTACATTATGCTATTGCAAGGATTATATTGCATGCTTCAATAATATTATTATAAAGCACAATAGTGACATCTTGTGGCAAAAAAGCATCACTGCAATTTCTTTGTTGGTTGATAATTCTAGGGTCCCAGAGATGTTTGCGTTTATCTGGAGTTTCCTTTTATTTTTCCAGTCTTAACAACAGTAATGAATTTCTCTAGTACTCCTTCAGCTAGGGTAATGTTTTCACTCTCGCGGGGATGGATGTGGCTGACCAAACGAAAGGTGACCATAAGCGTGGTTGAAGAGCTAGGTTTTAAGTTGCAATTTAGGAGACAGATAGAGAGAAGGCAAGGCTGAGCGGTAGAGGCAGGGATTTGCAAAGGACTAGGGGTGGAGTGACTGAAGCCTGAGCCATTGATTGTGGTGTGGAAGCAGGCTGAGTGGAGTGGGGAGCAGAGGAGCTAGAGCTAGGTACCAGATGGGTGGGGGGGTGCGAGTGCTAGGGTAAGAACAGATTGTGAGGATGACGACCTTGAAGTCGATGGGACCATGTGTGACCTCACACGAGGCAAGAGGCTGCTGAACAGTCATCAGGAAGCAGGAATCCTGGTTCACTGAAGTCAATTGTCAGCACCTGTATTGCCACCCGGCTAACTCAGCACAGTCAGAAGTCTCAACACGGCTGTCTGTACAGCTCAGTTCCACAATGAGCAGTGCCTTACCCAAACGAAGCACGGAGGGGGAGAGAGAGAGTATTATCGTGCTCCTGCTGTGGCCGTGCCCTGAGCTGGAGACTCACTGACTGGGCGGGCGAAGACGTCTGTGTGATGTGTTTGTGACGAGTTCTCATCTCCTCAGTGCAATGAGTGGCTGTGTTGGCTCCGAGGAATAAAAGAGGACAAAGAAACACTCTGCCTGGTCTCTGGGAACTGCTGCCAGCTGTGTCATCTAAATAATTCAAAGTGCTTTGTGGCCAGATGAAATAACACAGTAGGTTCGAAAAAGTGCAGGTTTACAACTGGATTCACTAATGAGTCTCAGGGAATCTGGCCCGAGAACCAGCAGCACATCATGGTATCTAGCGATACATCACAGTAACCAGTAATGTGTTAAAATAACCAGCATTGCAGCATAGTAACCAGCAGTTTGTCACGGCAACTAGCCGTGCATCACAGTAACAAGCAAAATGTCAAAATAACCAGCAGTACATCACAGTGCGTCAGGGAATCTGGCAGTACCTCACAGTAACCAGGAGAACGTCACAGTAACCAGCAAACAGCCTGACAGACATCGTCTTTAGATGGGCCTTACTGTTCTTCAACTCATTACACAACTGAGACTGCTGCTCGGTCCCTGTCAGCATTTCCTCACATAGACTTCTCTATCAGCGCCTTGGGATGTCCTCCCAACGTGAAAGTCGTTTTACAATGTAATTTTGTTGTTGTTGTTATCTTCACTCCTGATCTGAGGCTCGCCTGTTTGGTAATTTGCCCTCGGTTCTCGTTCTTCCAGCCTTTGAGCATCAGAAGGACATTTGATCTCAAGGAGCAACGCAGCCAAGCCTGCTCCTCACTCAACATCCATTCTTCCCCGAAACGCTCACTGGGCAGTGATGATGGGCAGGAAGAATGGCTGATGTTTCCGCATCCTAACCTAGGGATGTTAAGCGCTCTGGAACGCTACCCTGAGTGAAGGGCGCCACATAAATGCAAATTGTTGTTGTTGATGATGTGTGGGCTGATTCTAGCACCTGTTCCTGAAATTCAAATGAGCTAACTTAGCATTGACCACGGATTGAGCTTGTGTCCTCTGGTTTAGCTCCACACTGGGCATTGCCTTTACCAACTCACACACTGGACAGCTGGGTCACTGAGGCTATCTTTATGTGGAAACCCACGATAATGAATAATTGTTTGCCTGCGTGTGATAATGTCATCCAGTCCTTTGGATTCATGTTGAAGCTCTGCAAAGGGCAGAAGCAATCCAGGACTCGAGGGGTTAAAGTGCAGCCTCCTTCACTTGTCTGCAGCAGTCTCACACAACAGACAGAAAGAGCACTGATCAGATGGGCTCAAAGAACATTCCTTGTCAGACTCCATAAATCATTTATCATAGAGGCATGCAGAGAGAGAGACACACAGACACATACACACACTCAGCCAGTTTTAACCATCCCCCCCTACACACACACACACACACTCAACCAGTCATATAACCCCATCCCCCATACAAGCTCTCTCAGCCATCCATAACCCACTCCCTCCACGCACACTCTCTCTCAGCCAGTCGTACCTCCTCCCCCACTCTCTCAGCCATCTGTAACCTCCCCCCCCCATGCTCTCAGCCATCTGGAACCCCCTCCCCCATACATCCACACTCTCCCAGCCATCTGTATAATCCTCTTCCCCCAAACACATATAGGGTCACAGCTAGATAGAAACCCCCACCCCCCCCCACTCTGCGACACACACATACACCCTCTCCGCCCACACAAACAAATACACCCTCTCCCCCCACATACACCTTCTCCCCCCACACGCATACACCCTCTCCACCCCACACACACACCACCCAATCCAGCCAGACACAGAAGAGCTTCATTATTCCAATACGTGACATTTTATCAATCCGAAGTTTTATTTACCCTTTTCCTGGTCTTGTCTTTGAGGAATGGCTTTATTATCGTGTATAAAGCGTGGATGTACCAAGGCTGGTTCACAAAATGGATGCCTCCAAATCGCGCTGGGAAGCTGTCCTACAGAGCACAGAATCCAATTATTAGCAAAATAAGGTCACAGAGGAACAGAGCAAGGTGACTGTAGCCTGGCCAACCAGCAGCTCTGGAGAGGAACAGCTACCTGTATAATATCCTCCAATACAACTCTCAGTCCTCAGACTACTGAGGAGAATGAGCTACGACACTCACATCACTGCAGATTAGCTTTTCGCTTCACACTTTATGGCCTGAAATCTCAACTTGTCTTGGCCTGTATATTTGCCTCAAAGTCAATACGGCAAGAATTGTGGACAAAAATCTCAAATTCAGTCTTAGTTTGGAAAATGTTATCCCCAGTTCCGAAAACGAAACAGCTTCTGAATTTAAGACTCAATTTAAGAATTTTCCACAGTTTTGTGGCATTTTAAATTTTAAGGCAAAACGGGTTCTGCAAGCTAGGACTAAGTGAAATTTCAGCCAGCGTTTTCTGGGTTTCTTCAGATTTTAACTTCCGCATCTTACAAACTCATTTGTTTTAAATACTGCTGGTTAGAGTATTTCCCTTTACCAGATGACACCTTGCTTGGTGACATTTTCCTTCAGAAAATGACCTCTTAGAGTGGTGAAATTTCCGTTTGCAATCCTTTCCTCTGTTTGAGTTTACAACCGAGCCTGTGCTGTGGTGTGCTGAGCAGAGAGGGTTTTTCGCAACCTCTCCCTCCCTCAGAGACACAGCCTCGGTCACCCTTGCAAACACCGTGCAGTGATTTGCACACATTATACTCGTTCACAGCCAGATACCCACAGACAGGTCAGACTGCAGTTTGTGCACAAGCCAGGCAGTTCAAGAAAATAAGAGGGCGAGAAAATAACGTGGAAATGGTTGGATTTTATAACCTCACTTTAAACCAACATTTAGGCTGAGATTCAGATGAACCACCAAGCAACTGCAAGCTGCTGTCTGACTCTGCCTAGTGCCAACAGATGGCCACTGGTCATCCATTACCCCAGGATTAAAGGGAACCTATTAGGTGTCGGTCTGCCTCAGCCAACAGCACTCTCGCCTATGGGTCAAAAGGCTGTTTGTTCCAGCCGCACGTCAGCACTTTGAACTCACGGTCTAGGTTGACACTTCAGTGGAGTACTGAGAAATGCTGAATTGTCGCAGGTGCCGTCCTTCGAATGAGACCTTAAACTGAGGTCCTGTATGCCTATTCAGGTGGATGTTCAGGTGGATATCACCTTCCCTCTCCCCCAGCTCAGCATTGGGCTCCACCATTGATAAGCGTTCCGGAACATCACCCGGCATGGAGGGCGCTATATAAATGCAAGTCGTTGTTCTTGTTGATGTTAAAGATCTCATGGCACTATTCAAAAAGATAAGGTGTTTTCTCCAAGTGTCCTGGCTAATAAATCCCCAGTTAAAATCGGACAATCATTTCATAGTTGTTTGTGGGACTTACTGATATTGGTTGTCAAATTGCCTACAAAATACAGTCACTAATTGCACAGAACATCCTGTGATGCACTTTGAGACGTTTCGATGATGAAAGTGAACCTATAAATTGAAAATGATTAGTGATGCCTTTGCTTTGGGTAGTGCTCCCAAAATGAAAGGCGCTGTAACAAATGCAAGGATTATTACTATTAGCCAACAATCCTCCAGATAAAATTGGGTATTCACTTCATGGCTGTTTGCGAAACATTGCTGTGCCACACTGACTGCAGAGTTGCCTATAAAATATAAAGCAAATCCTCTGAAACGCTTTGAGACGTTTTGACAATCTGATAAGTAGCTATATCAATTGCAAGGATTATTACTATAACTATGGTTAAACAAGCCTATAAGTTGAAAATGATCAGTGTTGCTTTTTGTAAAGTAAGGAACTTGATTCACACCCTCCACCCACTGATATCATGCTTTTACTCTGGATGGTTCCCTAGGCAGGTCATAAAATCAATAAGCATCCTCTAAAATGCTGCTTGGCAGACAGCGAAGTGGTAATAAAATGCCTTACTAAGGAATGGTTTGCATAGTCCTATAATTTATATAGTTTTAGAGCTTTGGTTTCTGGGGTTGAGGAAATATCTACATCAGTAAGTCTTGCCTTGGAATTTGCAAACTGACATAACGTTCAAATAACACAACTAAATCCTATTCTATACAATAGGTAATGACAGGAAAAAGCTGCCTCTGATGAATATTTGAATATTGTTAACTTAGAGAATAATAATAATTCTTGCATTTGATATCGCGCCTTATCACATCTTCAAGGCGACACAAAGCATTTCACAGAATACACTGTAAAGTGAATTGATTGTGTATTTTGTGGGCAAAACACAGCAGCGTAAGGCAGTGTTCCACAAACAATCGTGGATTGAGCGACCAAATTATTATTATTGTTATTTATTTATTTGAAGGGATTATTACCCCCATAAAGTGATTCACCAATTGTTTGACAACCGGGTTGTTGCATATTACTAGGTAAACAGAGGCATGTGGAGTAAGAAAACTTGCCTAAGGTTTCGCCCTGCCCGGGAATCAAACCTGGGCGCTCTCACTAGCGAAGTGAGCACACTAATCACTACCCCACACATCTCCGATATTAAATGCTACGAGAGGTTGCACAACAACAACACAACAACAAGATTATATTTGCATAGCGCCTTTCATGTCGGGAGGACGTCCCAAGGCGCTGGACAGTGTACAGCATTTCAGATCCCAGCTGGGGTCAGGGGGGAGAAGGGAGGGGAGGGGAAAGGGGGTGACCAATGGCATGGTCGAAGAGGAGGGATTTGAGGTGGGACTTGAAGGAGGGGGTGAGGCGGAGTGATTGGGGGATGGAGTTCCAGAGATTGGGGGCAGAGTGGCTGAAGGCTCTCCCGCCAATGGTGGGCGGGTGGGTCGGGGAACGTGGAGCAAGCCTGAGCTGGCTGAGTGGAGGGAGCGGGCGGGTTGGTAGAGGATTAAGAGGTCACAGAGATAGGGTGGGGCAAGACCATCGAGGGCTTTGTAGGTGAGGACCAGGATCTTGAACTGGATCCTCTGAAGGATAGGGAGCCAATGGAGTCGGGCGAGAATGGGGGAGATGGGGTCACGGAGTTTGGTGCGGAAGAGACACAGGCTGCAGAGTTCTGGATTATCTGCAGCCTGTGGAGGGAGTAGTTGGGAAGGCTGACAAGCAGGGCGTTTGCATAGTTGAGCCTGGAGGTGATGAAAGCACGAACAAGAGTTTCAGCGGCCTGAGGGGTGAGGTAATGGCGGAGTCGGGCACACCATTTGGACCACCTACGGTTCTGCTTAGACTGAGCCATGTGCTTCACAGTCTTGGAATTCTGTTTCATGCTGAGCAAACTTTTACTCATAAAATATACTCTCAATAACCTGACAATATATTCTGTAAAGGGCTTTGAGATGTTTCAATGACGTGATAAGGTGCTATATCAAATGCAAGAATTATTATTATCAATAAAAAATTTCAAAGCCCATGTCTGGTCCATTGCTAAGACTGACTCCTTCCACCTCCAAAACAGTGCTCACTTACATCCTGACTCAGCAGCACTGCTGCTAAAATGCTTCAAATTGGTCTCAAATGCTCCACACACCCATAACTTCCATCCTTGCCAAGCTTCACTCCAATGGTACCCAGATCCTCATTAATGGATCCCAATTAAGATAATTGTTCTGGTCTTCAAAACCATCCATGGTCTCCCCCAATCATCTATGCAATCTATGAAATCTAGTCTGTATCATCCATTCTTTCGAATCTGGCGTCCTGCTCTCTCTTTATCCCTACACTCCACCAACAGTGACTGACCCTGGTGTGGACCAATTTTAAGATGTTTTGTAAGGTAAAAGGCATTTATATAAATATCAGTTGTTGTTGCAATGATCATATTTCAGAAACATCCTTAACAGATTTGCATAAAATTATAGGTGGAAAGCATTAGTAATTCTTGCATTTATTTATAGTGCCTTTCACAGTAGGAGGGTGCCTCAAAACACTTCAAACGATTGTAAAATGTAATGACTGTATATTTTCTAGGCGAATATGGAAGCCAGTTCATGCACAGCAATGTCCCACAAACAGCCATGGAGTGAATGATCAGTTTTATCTGGGGGATTGTTGGCCAGGACATTGGGAGAAACTCCCTTCTCTTTTTGAATAATGCCATGGGATCTTCAACATCCACCTGAACAGGCAGAAGGTAGCTCAGTTTAACATCTCATCTGAAAGGAGAGTACTTAAAATATCCACGTAAGAAGAAAGTTTAAAAAAACTGATTCATATTTTGAGAGACAGGAGATCCCCAAACTCATTTACAACAAGTCTTTAGAGACATTAACAATAAAATTAATTTAAAAATAGAGACAAGCCTGCTTGTCTTTTTGATCTATCTTCCCATCGGTAAAACACTGCAAATAACCTACCTGCTCATTACAGCAAAATATAAAGTCACTGATAGCACTTGAGTTGAAAGTACCATTTTTCCTTGCTGGAAAATGCGAGGCATTTATTTGTGTCGCATTTTCACTGGGGACTGCATCACTCCATTTAAGGAGAAAACATAACCACTGAGTTATAGCTGCCAGTCTGTGACTAATACAAACATTCAGAATTCTTGAAGGTGAGCATATGTTATGTTCATGACAGCCCCATGTATAATAGATGGTTCTATAATATAACTTGCTCTTTGGTTAGGAAACAGTATTCTCAAGTTCAGTACCAAGGGCAGCACCTAGATTCCTCCTTCTGCCCCGCTCCCCCATCCCCACCCTCTTCGCATGTTCTGTTTGGAAAGGGAGAACTGATTGTTTCAGGGAATATGGGATCTAATTCAGAGGAAAACAGGGAGGTGTTACTAGAGGATATAATTTATACAAGATATTAATACTCTTGTCAAATTTCTGGCTGACTTTCTAAACTTAGGTATTGTAATAGGGGTGAAAAAATGTGCTCTTTCATAACCAATTCACATTGAATCAGTTAAGGTGGACTATTGAATCCTGAAAATTCCACCTACGGTTATCCTGTTAGATCATTTTGCTGTAACGTTTAAGATTGTGTAGAATTCTGAAAAATGTTAAATTAAGTTTTAATTTGGAAGTCGGTTTTCCACAGTTCTGAAAAAAAAGCTTCCAAATTAAGACTCTATTTAAGAATTTTCCACAATTCTGCACCATCTTAAGTTTTAAGACAATCTGGTTTTGCAGGCAAAGAATCAGTAAAACTACAGGTCAGGCTTTCAGTCATTAATTGTTAGAATCATAGAATCATACAGCACAGAAGGAGGCCATTCGGCCCATCATGTCTGTGCCGGCTCTTTTAAAAGAGCTATCCAAATCAATCCCACTCCGCTGTTGATTAGTTTTGCGCCTGAATACCCCAATGATATCGGCACAATGACAGTCGCTCCCGATCTCTAAATTCTCCACCGTCTGGGAGGTTGTGCTGGAGGGAACATTGCAAGGTGTGGCACCATTGGGTGTCACCAGCCTCTATCTCCTCTCCACTCTCTTCAGCTCCCCTCCCAGCCTCACCCACCCCTCTGCCCCAGCTTGAGTGCAGTGTGAGGTGTTCTGCCAATGTGAGAGGCAATTTTGCTGTAACAACAACAAAAACTTGGATTGATATAGCGCCCTCCACGCCGGATGGCATCTCAGAGCGCTTCCCAGTAACAGATCCCGGGGCCGAGCCAAGGGGAGGGGGAGGAAGGTGACGAGGCGAAGGGAGTGAGGAAGAGAGTTTCAGAGCTTGGGGCAGAGTGACTGAAGGCACAGCCACCGATGGTGGATCAAAGGACTCGGGGGACAAGAAGGAGGCCAGTCCCGGTGCAACAAAGGCAACGGGCACTGTTTTGAGGAGAGAGGAGGTCAGAGAGGTAGGGGGGGTGCAGAGGAGTGGAAGGTTTTGACGACAAGGGTGAGGATCTTGAAGTTGATGCTCTCTGGGACAGGCGGCCAGTGCAGTCTGGCAAGGACTGGGGTTGTCGGGGAATTTGGTGGAGGTAAGAATGCGGGCGGCAGAGTTTTGGATGACCTGGATTTGAGATTTAAGTTTTAAGACATTTAAGATTGTACACTATTATGGAATTATGGTCTATTATAAACGTAATCTAAGCTCCATGTAAAGAATGAGCACACGAGTGTCACATGCCATGACAAGATGATGTCTCTCTACATCAGGCGTCATCGCTTGAGAAGGATGATGAGGTCATACCCTCGGGTGGAAATGACAGCAAGTGAGAAGTGCTATTGCTATAAAGTAAAGCAGTGCAGCAGTCCAGAGATCAGTTTCGACCCAGAGACGAGAGCCTGATAATAATCCTTCAAGAAAAAAAACAATAATAATTTGGTCACTTCAACCCACGACTGTTTGTGGGACACTGCTGTGTGCAATTGGCTGCCGCATTTCACCCACAAATATACAGTCAATTCACTTTACAGTATACACTCCAGTATGTGGAGTCCTGTAGCTCAGTGGTTAGAGCAATTGCCTTCCAAGCGAGATACCTGGGTTCAATTCCAGGCAGGGCAAAACCTTGGGCAAGTTTCCTTACTCCACACTCCTAATAATAATTCCTCCAAAACAAAACAATAATAAATTGGTCATTTTCAATCCACAACTGTTTGTGGGACACTGCTGTGCGCAATTGGCTGCCGCGTTTCGCCCACAAAAAATATACAGTCAATTCACTTTATAGTCTATTCTGTGAAGCGCTTTAAGATGTCGAGAAGACGTGAAAAGCGCTATATCAAATTCAAGTATTATTATTATTCTCTGAAGCGCTTTGAGATGTCTAGAAGACGTGAAAAAGCACTATATCAAATGCAAGGATTATTATTATTATTATTATCCTCTCATCAGCCACTCCACTGTGACCTGCTCCTCTTATCACCCACACAAGCTAAAATTAATGCACAAAGCACAGTATCTGGTACTAAACTCATGAGCTGGAGAAGGATTCAGTTGCAACATTGGTATTGCAACATTGCTCCCATTTCCAGATTCACAGTAATAACCTCAAACTCAGGCATGCTGCCCCTTGCCCCTTGCGCCTCATTGTTGGTGGCTAAATGTTCAGCTGCTAAATCTGAAAATTCCTTCTAAAATCCCTCCACCCATTGACATCTCGCTCTGATCCACTCCATCCAAGCACTTTGAGATGTTTTCCTATGTGAAAGACACTGTATAAGCACAAATTGTTGTTGTTGTGATATTACGCAGTGTTAATCTCTTGTGTAAAACTACACACACATGTGCAAGAGAATTTAAAACCAGCCGATTTAAACTGGATTTTGCGAGTATTTTTCAGTGATTTATTTAATCTTCCTGTATAAATAGATTCCAAGAGACAGTCTTTAACACCTCACAGAGCTGCAAGCACAATCTATCACATTTACTTAACAGTTCAATGTATTCTTCACACCTTTAACAGGTTTCATTAAAGGTGGAATGCTCTGCTGAATAGCTACGAATCAATACATGTTTTAACTCTGCGACAGTAAATGCCTTCAGAAAGGGTTTGTAACTATTTCAGGTTTTCTTGATGTAATTTCCAGTTATATTTCATGCTGCATTTTGTGACCTTCTCGATGGCTCAACGAGTTGATCCAGTGCCATACAGTCTCAGGTTCAATTGGTGCTGAGTTAGCTGATATCAAATGAAGTCAGCACTAGAATTAAATAATTCTTGCAATTAATATAGCATCCGTAACTCTGAAATGTCTCAACTTGCTCCACAGGTAATTTCTGCCAAGTGACTGCATGTTTGAAGGCAAACACAGAAGTCAACATGTGTACAGCAAGGTCCTACACACAGCTTTGGAGAGTACCAATTCATTGGGAAGATTGTTGGCAAGGACACTTAGAGAAACTCCCTTCTCTTTGAAAACAATGATACAGGAACAGTATCACACAGGCAGACCTTGATTAAAAGTCTGATCTGATGGATGGTACGTCCAACCTCTCCTTGTATTTAGATAGTAACTTCAAAATCACGATGTTAGGCTTGAACCTACAACCTTTTGACCCAGAGACAAAAGTGCCACCAACTGAGCAATGCCGGCATTCTAAATACTACAATTGGCCGCAGTTAGGAAAAGGAAGTAGAGCCAGGCTTCCTGTTCCTGATGAACAACCAGTGACTCGTGCTGACAGAAGGTGAGTCAACACCGAGTGATATTCTCACAGTCATGTAGCCTGTTGATGTACCTTGCTATCAAGGCTCACAGATGACTAATGAAAACTCAGGCAAGATACTGGAGTCTGTAAAACTTCCTCAGTTGAACGGATAAAAAAGTCAAAAAGTCTTCAGGAAGTTCCATGTGATTTTAGGGTGAGTACAAAGAACGACAATACAAACCAAAGCTCTTCAGTCTCTAAAAGCAATATCCATAAGGGATTTTTTTGAAAGGTATGCAAGATGCTTGATGTGATCTTGATGTGAAAAAGTAAACCTGGTACAATACTTTCATAGGCCAAGAAGGGTAAATTTAGGACTGACAAGAAAGGAAGTATTTCCACATAGAGTCATCCACAGAAATGGCTTGATATTGCATTAGGAAGATGGTGGGGAAGGGAGATATTCTGAAAGGAGGGGAGATAATCTTGGAATGGTGTAATCAAATTGGAAGAGAAGCCTTTTTCATCCAAACCTCTCTTGTGGTCTTGTGAGAATTCAAGGAATTACTTGATTTCTGATGTTCTTTCATACCCTGTGGGTAGGTTTCCTGAGTGGGAACTCGCTTGTAGCAACCTATATACTAGCACATGTGCTAATCTGCTACACTAGTGTTTCTCAAGGACCAGGGTGATCCATTGAAAACTTCACAGGCTGGTCATACAAGAGAGCTTGAGATCACTTTAGACTTGTAGTTCATTTACAAATAGTTTATTGCATTCTAAGAAGAAACTGAACCAGTGCGTGGTAACAAACCGGTTGAGAAACAATGTACCACACCATTGGTTATAGTAATCCTCAAGTCTTGGAATGTTTTGTTTTGCTTCTTTTGGACAAAGACTCATAAACCATTAAGGTCATTTCAAGCAGCAAAGGAAATATGCATAAACTCTGATAATGCATTGCAAAAAAAACATGACTGACCTGTAAGCCCTCTATAGCCAGCCTTAGGATGGTAGGAGTCAATCCAGAGGCTTGCTTGAATGAGAAATTACTCCAGTCTATAATCAGCACAAAACCATTTATCTGTAGCTCTGGGTCTTCAATTAGGATTTCCAAGGACAGAAGGATTGCTCGGAGAATATCTGTGAAGGTGTTCCTGGAAGTGAAAGCAACAAAACGCCAAAGGGATTAGTCATATCCTGTGGAACAAGAAAGATTGCATTTATGCCTGCTTCTCAAGCAATAACTGTAGCTCTGGGCTCCTGGCATTGTTACAGAGCTTCTGTTTAATTAAAGCCTCATTTAGGATTTACTCATGAATTAGACAACATTGCAGATTATTTGTGCATTAAAGGTCAGTTAAACAACTAAACGGTTGGAGAAGAATTCTGATTCAAGCAGAACATTCCAATAAACCAAATAAATCCCATTCATCGCATTTATACAGAATAATTCTAATAATATTGCATAATACAAAATCCTGGTCAAAACATAGAATTTCCAACAAACCTTTTAGTACAGGGAAGAATGAATATCATCAATGGATTATATTATGTATTAATGCTGAGGAGACAATGATATTATGTTGTAATGTTGAGAGTAGGCAATACAGAAAAAGAGTGCTTCTTTCTGTATTACCTACAGAAAGAAGCAGGTGAAAAGGCAACAGTTTATCATCATAGCACTAAACATAGTTGTAAAAGATAATATTCTGTCCAATTGCAAAGAACATTGTTGGTTAGCTGGATGTCTCGACATATAGGGAAATCTATTATCATTCATAAGAGAATCCACACATACATATTCGTGGACATTTCCCTGTATCTGGAATGGAGTGCGCACACTTTCTCCCTGGAGAGACATACCCTGCTTTCATCATTCCACTAACCCTAAGACCATATGGATTTCCAGGGTTTCTTTGTTTCTGAGACTCAATCACACTTCAAAACTGATAAAACATTACCACAGCAAAACACTGAATGGGAGCTGTGAACTGTACAAGAACAACACTGCTGGATGGACACCGGTAATGAAGAAAGGCATATAAATGCATGTAGGATGGCAAAATCTTTGTAAGAGAAATAAATAATAATAATAATTGTAATCCTTGTATTTGATATTGCGCCTTATCAAGTTTTTGGGACATCTCAAAGTGCTTCACAGAATACACTGTAAAGTGAATTGTCTGTATGTTTTGTGGGCGAAGCATGGCAGCCCATTGCACACAGCAGTGTTCCACAAATAGTCATGGATTAAGTGATTATTTAATTATAATTATTATTTAATTATTATTGTAAGAGATTATTACCCCCCTTACCAATCGACTAACAAACGGGCTCCTACTTACTGCTAGGTAAAGAGAGGCGTGTGGAGTAAAGCAACATGCCCAACGTTTTGTCCTGTCTGGGAATCAAACCCAGGTCCTCTCGCTTCCAAGGCGAGTGCTCTAACCACTGAGCTACAGAAATCAAACTCATACATTTGAAATATATTTTGCCATGGTTATGTCACCTACATGAGCACATACCTTTGAAATTAATAGAATGCTGTGCAGGTGAATCACAACAAGACCAACAACAATAAATCGATGGGCCGAATGGCCTCCTTCTGTGCCGTAACATTCTATGAACATTCTATGAAATTACAATTGTTAGCATCGTTCACGTCGACATATTAATTGAAACTGCTTTTCTCATTGCAGGTACTTGTGTTCTTCCTCATTCACCCCACGCTACTTTGCAGTTACCATATTTTTTCCAGGTAACTATTAATCTGCTCCAGTGAGCAGCAGGAGGGAAATTATGCACTAGGTTGACTCAAGGTGAGGTACTGCATTTAGATGCCTCCTGACCCCAGTTCTACCTGTCTTGGTTTTCATTTTAAAGCTAAGCCTTCTTCTAAAAGATTCCTTTACCATAGGGAGGAAACGTCCCATTTGGCCCATCCTTTCTATGTTGGTTGTAACTGCTCTAATCTCATTCCTCTGCTGTTCTTTCTCCATACCTGTAGGTGATTACTCAGCTGATGCACCAGATGGTGCTATTCCAGGAATCCCCATATCTGAGTAACCTTTTAGTATTTCAGCAAAGCGATTCACCTTGCTGTGACACCAATTAACAAACTACTCATTGAAGTCAATTATCCTGCTAATGCTCTCCACATTTTACTGGAAGCAGCCCAGATATAATAATAACAATTCTTGCATTTGGTACCTTCACGTCAAGAGGACGTCTGAAAGAGCTAAACACGAAATACTGTTTAGCGCAGTGACTGTATTTTGGAGGTGAACCGGCAGCCAATCTGCACACAGCAATGTCCCTCAAACGGTGATGGGTTTCCGCATGTGTCAGACACCCGGCTGACAAAAAAACCCTCCTCAACTTCTGCCCTCGTGATCCTTATCCACACAATTTATCTCTGTGCACCCTACAGTAGTTTGAAGCTACCGTCGGCCCATTGTCGGCCCATGGCCCATTGTTTCATCAGTTAATCTCTGAAACTCCTTGCCTTGACCCCTCTGCCTCATTCCCTCTCTATCTATTTTTAAATCCCACTTTAAGATCTATCTCTTTGACCATGCTTGTGATCACCTCCCTGACTACCTCCCACTTGCTTGGTTGGTCAGACCCACCACTGTACAGCACTCTGAGACACCAACCTGCGTGAAAAGCGCTATATAAATGCAAATTGTTGTTGCTATTGTTGGTGTTTAATCTGCTTCTCATTTTAGGTCAGTTTCTGCACTATCGTCACTTACTGCACCTTCATCCAGTCAGGAAACCAGGATGGTACATGTTTGTTAGAGAGCTCAGTCTCTTCAATGCCTTCTGTTACCTCAGGCTCATCCAGCACAGAAATACATTAAAAAAATCCAGTACTGTATTTTGCATCTTTTACATCATAATGCTATATAGAGCAATTTGCTCTAAAAAGGTTCTCAAATATTTTTACTCTATTATATGTGTCAGCCAGCATCAATTTAAGCTCTGCCAACAAGGCACTGTCCATCTGGATCAGAGCTTTTTCAGTTACAGACATCTGGAACAAACACAACATAGGCTGTCTCTAATTTGATCCATTCTCTCTTTTGCGTAAGTTTGAATGTTTATGTTTTGCATTTCGTACGTAATAATCTCCATTGCTTCTTAAAATTCCTCATTCTTTCCAAACGTATCCCTAATTTCTAAGTATAAATAAACCTTGAGGTTTAAACATTGTTTTTTAGCCAGTTATTTTTTTTGCTCCTTCTGCCTGAGTTTTATATCCTGGGGAAGTGTTTGTGATCATCTCCACTCAGCAACCTTTGTTATTCTGGAACTCAATGCTTTTCTTTTATAATGTTAATCTCATCGGGCAATTGTGACCCATACAACTGGCCTGTGCAGCTGCCTTCAGTTTTTTTTATTAAATAATAACTAAGGTAGCTACTATATATTTTCTTGAATTGATTACAGCTGATTTACAAAATCCTCTCCAAAGTAGTATTGTACAATAATAAATAATCCTTACACAGCGCCTTTCAAATCAGGAGGATGTCCCAAAGCACTTCACAGGATTTACTGTAAAGTGTAGTGACTGTGTGTGTGCTTTGTGGGCAAATCTGAGGTGGCCAATTTGTGCACTTCAATGTTCCACAAACAGCCATGAAGTAAATGACCAATTTTATTTGGGCGATTGCTGGCCAGGATACCAGGAGAAACTCCCTTCTCTTTTTGAATAGTGCCATGGGATCTTTAACGTCCATTTGAACAGGCAGGACAGGCATTTAATTTGTTCAATGTTTCACCTGAAAGATGAAAAACTGATATCACCAGTTTAACCCTTTTTCCTATTGATCTGAAGCTTATTTCACCATTTGCTATTCTGCCTGCTCTCCTCACAATACTTCAGTACAGGTACTATTTTTGTAGTCAAGGTTACTGACTGATTTTCCCTTCTTTTTGACAGGGAAACTACATTTGTACAGTCCATACATAGCATCCTGGCTAATAATCCCCCAAATAGAAACATTCATTGACTTCACTGTTGCTTGTGGGACAAATTGGCTGCAGCATTCGTCTGTGTACAGTAATTCCAGTAGTTTTGCAGGAGTTTGCCTACGAATTACACAACCACATTACAGTAAATCTTGTGAAACGCTTTGAGACATCCTCCTAATGTGAAAGGCGCTATGCCACATGCAAGGATTATTATTATTCTATCTTCTGTTATTAATCACTTTACCCAGGATTTGTCTTTTCAAAAGTTCCAGCCAGCACAGAAAAGACGAAAGGTCACATCCAAATCTTTTACTTGTTCTAACTTTCTGGGATGTTCCTTAATGGTACACACATTTTGCTGATTCCTGTTCCAATATGTATTGCTTTATATTTATGGACATTAAAATCCATTTGCCTTTACTCGACCCATTGATTTAACCCTCTGAGTGCTGAAAATGATTTGCTCATCAAGGCTACTGGGCATTGATTGTAATTGACACGTCCTCCCAACGTGAGAAGGCTATGTAAATGTTATTGCATAGTACTTGTGGTTTCTTGCTGCTTCAGATGCAACTGATTCAATCTTCAGAGTATGTGTTTTTGTTGTCTTAAAAACCTATCTGCAAAACCTGGTTTATAGCATATGAAAAGACTCACACTGCCCTATATGTGAAAAAATATTGTTTCATTCAAAATGGAAAGGGGAAGTGGTTAGGCAGAAGATGTAAAGATAAATAAGATGTTTTCAAGTTAAAGAAGGTAGAGAAAGGGATTACAATAGATCAGAACAGAATGCAAAATAAACAGAAAGAGTGAACAAGAGAGTAGTTCATATAGTCGATATAGAATCATAGAATCCCATAACAACAATAACAAAATTACATTTATAGAGCGCCTTTCACATCGGGAGGACGTCCCAAAGTGCTGAACAGTAAGTTGGGGCCCGAGCATGGGGGAGGGGTGGTGTAGGGGTGAGGGAAGGCAGAGAGGTGGGAGGGAGACCAAAGGCACGGTTGAAGAGAAGGGTCTTGAGACAGACCTTGAAGGAGGCAAGGGAGAGAGCGAGGCGAAGGGATAATGGGATGGAGTTCCAGAGTGTGGGGGCACAGAGGCTGAAAGCCCGGCCACCGATGGTAGGGCGGATCGGGCAGGAGACATGGAGCAGGTCCGATGAACG